AATAATTTATCAAAATAGTCGATAAAATCTATTGTTCCAACTGCTGCGCTTGGAAGAAGGCCTAAGGACAAGTAAGTGCACATACCTGCACACATACGATTACTGAGAACTTGAACAGCGTATGGTACTCTTATTTTATCAAAATTACTTGGATCGATATGCTTTTGAGTTAACTTTGGGGCCAATTTTATCCACTGTTTACTGTCTCTGTTATAAAATTCAATAATATCATCCCATGAAGCAACTTTGTTATTTCCAAATTGTATATTATGTTTCAACAAATTATCACGAGTTCTTTTCATTAAATGCAGAGTATCGAATATATATAGTACCTCATGTCCGTCAACTAAAAAGATTGAATTTTGTACAGAAATACCTAATTCTCGGGATAGTTGTGTAAAGTTAGATCCCATGTCCGAAATTAAAGCATGCACAGTCGCACCGCAATGTTGTAATTTACGTATAACATCAAATAGAATAGGTTTCAATACATTAAATTTACATGCATTCTCGACAAAACAAAAGCAAAGAGGAAGTTTCCAATTACCTTCAATGCTACGTGCCATAATAACTAAAACACTTTTTGCAGGTAACGGTTCTTTCTGATCATTACCGGTATCTTGAAAACCAATTATTTCATCTTGTAAAACATTGTAAAATAAATGAGCTTGTAGACTCATTTCATCTATGCACAAAATGCAATGACGTTCTAATAGTGGCAATGAATTTAACTTTACAGCTAACACATCAAAAATTTTATCATTTATACCGGGTTTAATTTGCCACGTTTGTGTAAACTTATGTAGACTGCGTATGGCAGGTAATGCTAATTCTTTTTGAAGTTCTTTATAACATCACGGACTTAGAAAGTATATACCTAAAGCAAATTGTTTAAATTCGGAACTATACCGTCTTCCACGTTTGCTTTTAATTTGCGCATCAATTTGGGCAGATAACAATCGTGCGAAAGTCGGAGAAAAAAACTTACAGCCTAATTGAGGTAGAATCTCGTGGTCTTTAAGCTTCTCTCTTTCTGCTTTTTTCTTCCTTACAATTAAAATCTTCACTTTCTTCTGAAGCCGTCTGTTTCTTTCGTCCAGTGTTTTTACTCTCCCTTGTAATCGTACAATGCGTTGTTGCAATTTTTTCTTCCGCGGACTTTTTTCTTTTTTTATTGTGCTCTGGACGTGCTCCTATACATAACATATACATATATTATAGCAAAAAACAGATAGTAAACCTCTAGAAAGAAAATTGAAGTATTAATTACAATTTTAGAAATGTCAATAACAAAGAAATATAAAAATAAAATAAACCAAATATTTATTATAAACTCTTGAAAAACTTATATTTGAATATTAAAATTAAATAGATATGGTATTGATAACCTTATTTATTTAAAATTATCTTATATATGCATGTGTTCTTTATGTATATGCAGACATGTTAAAATAAGACAAATGTTTTTATAAATACAATTACTCTCACGTAATATTATTTATGTCTTGTTATATTAAATGCAGAATGCAATTTTTAAAAGAAAAGAAACATAAAATAGACTGTAATAAGTTGTAAGTTTAAATCAAAATCTACAGACTGATTATAAAAAACTGTATAAAAGAAATAATATATTATAAAAACACATATGTATGTATATAATGTAAATACAAATACGTACGGCTTAGCAATAATATGGACATCTTTATCACATTTTGGCATCTGCTGTGTTATAGGCGGGAATGATTTCGACTGTAAGTCACTGAAACATACCATTTTAGTGTAATATTACTTTTTATTGCTAAATAAAAAATGTCTAAAACAAGTTAATTATAAGAACAAAATACTATCTATAATAAAAAAATAAATACATTTTCAGATATTTAAGTACCTATTTGTTTCCTCTTGTTGTAAAATATAAAGATTTTCTTCTTCAGGTAGCTCTTCATCCATCTTTTCAATTGCTGATGTTGTAATACATGCATTGCTATAAATAATATCATTAATTATAATGTGTATTATATTATCAAAAATATTGTTTGATATTGTTTAATATACAATATACTATTGAATATAAAAAACCACATTATTTAAAATAGAAAAGATTATACATTATAAGATGTGTATGGGCTTACTTTCTTCCAAAAAATATTGTTGGTACAGCATCTGGTTGAAGATGAGCTCTACTCTTACTTATCTTGTACCACTTTTCTTCAAAATGTAAGTGGCACAATCGATAATTGCGATGGCCATATTCTGCACCCATTGCTTCCAAATCTAATCGTTCACAAGCACGTATCCATTGCAACCATCTGTAAATATTATTCAAATTTGTAATTGTAAAGAAATATTGTAATAATATATACATATGCATGCACATAATAATATACATACGTTTAGAATAAATATCAAAATAGTATTTTATAATATGTAAATTTATACTTGTTTTAAAAAATAATAATTAATAAATGAAATAAAATCATTATACCTTTCATGTTCCTTTGGAAACCGAAAAAAATGTCGTTTTTCCACAATATTTTTGTTGCATTCCCGAACAACACACCACGTGCTTGATTGATGGGCCATTTTTTTCTTCCAGATTTTCCCTCAAGATTTCTTCACAAATACCTGCAACAAAGCTAAGACCAAAGTGCTTTTCCTTTATAAGAGAATTGAGAATCTGTACAATTTTTGTACAGATTAACTATTCTCCGTAAGGAAAATAATTTGTTCTCGGTTTTCTTGCACCGTTTACTAAACACCTGTACACTATTCACTGAGGACTTATCACTTTACCACTTTATCACCACTTATCACTTTATTATTTCTCGCATCAGATCACATCAGATGTCCGTTGCCGCCACTTTCTACTGAACGGCCATTTAAAGGTCCTGCCCTGCATGGAGCATCTCAACGGTGCTGACAGAGAGCGAAAATACAGAGAGGAAGTGAGCAGAAGTGAGACAGAATATCAGTGCTCTGATTGGTTACATACCTCGCACGCGCATGTGCAGTTCATTTTCATCCACGCTGAAATCGGGAGAGTTGCGCTACTGTATATACTGTGACAAGGCTTAAGGCCCCGGACACACATTTTTTTGTAACAGTAAGATTTCGACCAATCGTGTTACTCGATTCGGGAACGTACGGCCGTACGTTTTCGAATCGAGCAACGCGATTGCTCGAAATCCTACTGTTACGTTCTACGGAAAGTGTGTGTGGCCAGCTTAACATAGACCGTGGCCGGGATGAACGCTGCACAGTGTTCAGTATTGAACACAGATGCCTATTGTATAATTGTATTATAATATAATTGTATAATATAATTATATAATTGTATAATATAATAAATAACATGCGATAATAGGTTTTTTATAGCTGCACTGTTAAATCTTGCACTCAGAACAAATATATCATATTAGAAATTAAATAGAAAAGGAGAAAAGATGAACGATATTCAACCACGAAGTTTTAACGCCAAATGGACTGCAGTCGCGACATGGTGACTACTCCTTGTTCAATCGAAAATTTGCGCCAAATAAAATTTTTTTTTACCATTAAATATAATTGAAGAATGTCCAATTAAACGTTTGACGTATGTATTTTCCGTCGGCAAGATTATTTGAATTAAACGTGCAAACTACAATTTGATTATATTTTATTGGATATAAAAAATGCGTTATTACGTTACGTATCTTAATTTATTTGATATTTGACATAACTTTTTACATTATATTTATTATATACTAAAACATATAGATTTGAATAAAAGTGTGCTTGAAATTAAAAAAAATATTTTTTTTTTCAATAATACATGAACACAGCATTTTTTTTTAGATCATTTTCTACCTTTTACCTTTCTTTTTTTTTAATTTAAAATTTTTATAAATGAAAATAGAGCGAGTCAAGAGAATTTATGTATATTTATTCATATTCATATAGTAGAGATGATTCCTTTATTTAACCATTACATAATGTCTAAAAAATCATAGATATATCATATTCATAGATGGACAAATGTGGGTATTTTTCTTTCACCTGGGCAAGAAATTCGAAATAGCCAGATCTCTTACAGTAACGTACATATTCATGTTGAAGATAGATCGTTTGCAATTTAGGACATTGCTCGAAAATTGCGAAACTATCGTCGTCCTTATAATCCAAGTATAATTTTTTTAAGTTTTTACACAGCGTCAGGGGTTCGTCGAAATTTCCCTCAAGACCCAACAAATTGACTTCTTCCAAGAGTTGACAAGAGGAAAACAATCTACTTAAACTAAGCTGATCGATTTCGCAATCATTCATGGTTTCAAAATCATCACTGAAACGTCTGTAAAGCCATACTATTATTATGGTTTCCGCAAAGGGAAAAACAACAATGTTTCATGATGTTTGCAAGAGATGGAAACATGCAAATTTTGCTGAAAAATATGATAATATATTCAAAAGAAAATGTAGCACACACGTACCCCCATGAAATGTTCAGTTTTCGTAATTTCTTGCACTCAGCGAGGGCCTCAATACCTCGCGACGTAATAATACAGCCCGTTAAATCTATTATTTCCAAGTCTGGACACGAATTTCCCAATTGTATTGCAACTGCATCTTGATTTTTTGAAAACGTGTAATTTAGATTTGCAGTGTCATCCAATATGCTCAAATTTAAGTTACGCATCCGGCGATTTTTTTGCAATATTTTGCAAAGAGTTTCAGTTGCTATGTATATCCTTGTAAGGTTTAAATCCTCTAGAAATTCTAATTTTTCGAGACACGAAAGTTCAAATGAGTTGTATTCCGATCGTTCATGACAAAAACTGAGATCCAATACTAAAAAAAAATATATATATATATACATATGTATGTGTCTCAGAGTCATACACAATTTACCTGTAATCTTAAATATTATATTTACTTATGTACATACCTTTCAACATTTTGCATGTTATGGAAATTTTTAATAGAACCGAGTTGTCAACAAATTGGCAGTTACTTAATCGTAAATGCGTTAAACCCTTGCCGCAAATGTTGACAAATTTTTTGAAGTGCCCAACAGGAATGTTGCTTGATGTCAGATCTAACCGTTGTAAATATTTACATGTAAATGCAAAGTAAAATAAAACTTTGTGAATAGATTTCGTATACCGCAAATTTCGTAAATTTAAACATTTAAAAAGAAGAGGATCCCGTGTTAAAGTATTGAACCGTTTATTTACTTGGCTCAAACGGCACAACGACCTCATATCCAAGTTTTTCAATATTATCAGTACTATTTCATCCTGTAAAGATAAAAAAAATTAATACATGAGATTATATTGTAATAAATGTTAGTACGACTTACGAGAAATAGATTTCTTCGAATACTTACAGAAAGCGTAGAAAAACTGCTACATATTGATTGCTCTTTGGATTTATTCGAGCAGAGTTCGATATCTTTTATTAACTTTGCATAATTTGGATGATGTAATAAATGTGGATGTTGTAATGAATAGTTCCTATAAATGCTTTTAATAAATGGGTTCCTATATCTTTGCTCAGAACGTGCCACATCTATTTCCTGTGACATTTGCTTGTGCCCGAACTTGCTCTTGTTAAAACTCTTTGCTATATTGCTGCAAATAACATATTAGAAAAATTTATTTTTCAAATATATTTTTATTATTCAGAGAATAATTAAGAAAGATTAAATATTACGATGATTATTATACCTTTTACAAATAACGCAATATTTTGAGAAATTTTCTTGCAGATGAACTATATCCAAATGTGCAGCTTCACGATCAGGTGTTAAATTATGGCTGTCCCCATGGCAAGGATACTTGCAGTTAATATTTTTTAACAGATTAGTCAAATTCAGTTTAGGACTTTTAGGTAGGACTAATTTTGACGTGCCAATTAGCTCTACAGCATCTAGGTGTGTGGAATAGTTCCAATGGCTGTACATAAATTGTAGTCTGAGTTTTTTGATTTTGAAGTCACAGAAACTTAGAGGCGGCGAAAATATCCGCGATGTCATAGGAACTGCATTCTGAGGTGGTCCACCCCATAATAGAAACCATTGGTTGTTCTCCCATTGTTTCTTCTTAGTAAGAGTTATGTCATCTGGATAATGTTGTTTACCTTGAGCCCAAATTTTGGTTACATACCCAGGATTATATACTTCATATATAGAGACTCTGACTGGATATACGGCTTCATGAAACTCGAGATCTTCAAAATAGAAAATTTAATTATAATCTATTCTCAACACAAATGTATCTTCTTTAACAATATCTTATTTATCAATTTTAAATGTCACTTACCAAGATAATTACAATACATGTGGCTATTATCTTGTGGTTTATTGTAATATGAACCTGTTAGAGGTTTCTGCCATGGAGATGTCGAGATGTCGAAACCATTAGTTCTCTATATTAAAAGATCAAGAAAATATTGTAGCATAAAATTATAGATTATGATTACTTTTTACAAAGCAATAACAGATATCAAGAAATATACATACCATGACAAATGTTTTTAAAAAATCTCCATAATTAGGAAAATTGGTAGGTGGTCCGATGATCCTTTCATAAGTTTTCATTATGCTCCAAGTATTTATATCGTTATACTCTTTAACTGTGCGATTGCTATCCCCTACATATTGATAGATAAAGTTAACACAATCCTCACCTGCTACTACTTTATTGATTAAATGATAGGATGTCATATTCTCGATCTAAAAAAGAATTAAAGACACGGAGTGTAATAATCTTGAGCTGTTCTTAGCATAGGTATGTTAAAATGCTATATTGTAATATGATATATCTATTACAATTATCGAAATCCGTGTTAAAACCCAAATTTACTGGTAAATTCTAGTTTTAACTAAACCCTTTCGGTAATTCGCGTTCTAACTAAAAGAATTTAGTTAAAACTAGAATTGACCAAATGCTTTAGTACATTCGCGTTTTAATTGAAATAATTCAGTTAAAACTAAAATTAACTGACCGTTTTAGTAAATTCGCGTTTTAACTAAAATAATTTAGTTAAAACTAGAATTGACTGATTGCTCTTAATAGCCCGTATCAGACTACGGATTGGGATTGAGATTGGATTAAAATTTAATCAATCAGAACAGAGAAAACTGATCTCAAGTTTAGTAAACTTTGCTCTGATTGGTCAAATTTCAATCCAATCTCAATCCCAATCCGTAGTCTGATACGGGCATTAGTGAATTCGCGTTCTAACGTTTCGCCGGCGCGCTTGTTAATTGTCTAATACATGCAGTCGTGCAAGTCAGTACAGTTGTGGACGGTGCTGATCGTCCACAACGCGATGTGTGCATTTGATAAACGTCCACGACGCGTTCCAACGCGTTCTGCATAAGGGCCAAAGCACATAACATGGCGTAGCGATATACGACGGTCGTAGACCCCGACCTGACAGATCAGGATACGCCAAAGCTTGTGCGTTACTTACGTCCACGACTACGACTGTCATATGTGCTTTGGCCCTAACTTGCATGTATTTTAAGTTATAAAGCGAAATCCACGCTGTCTACCGGTGGAGGTGGGTGCGGGAAGGGGGGCCAAAGGCCCCTCCTGCACCCCCTCCGCGCGCGCGCGCGTGTGTGTGTGTGTGTGTGACGCTCTTTAAAAGTATTTAAGTGTTTAATGCCCGATCTACAATAGCTGTAGTAAGCTGTAGTAAGCCTCAAGCCGTAAGAAATTGACCAATTACAGGCGAATGTGAGGAGAATAATCGACTGTGATTGGTCAATTTCTTACATCTTGAGGC